CTCGTGCATCCATTCATTATTGTTCTAATACCACCCTATATGAATTCTCCATCTTCCGCTTGAATTTGCTCTCAACATTTCAATCTTCATTCTGCTCTTTTATCCAAATACGACACCAAAAGACAGCAACCAAAACTGGCGCACGAAATTGCATGGTTAATGGTTGTAAAAACCGAAACTGAAACATAATACTTATTGTAACATATTATACGAAGACGTTTAAGTCACGTTGACTCATGGTATTCATTCATAAATGGACCAGTAATGAAAGGACTGTCCACAAATATTTCCCGGTGTTGCAAATGAAGCCTTTGTATCGAAATATCCTATTTATTATACTTACTATAATCAAAAGTGCTCGTCGACATGAGTCGTTGGCTAGGGTGTTGCCTTCTGGGTCCTAAAAAAGGTGGTGCACAAACTTCAACGGAGTCCATGACTGCCTCGAATTTAATCACTTTTTTGTTTCGAATGCAAACTTTCGAGCTTTAAAATATAGATTTAACAAAGAGCTTCACAGTAACCATGAACTACAAAGTGAGATACAGCAACGTTTACATCTAATGGCATACTAAATCAAGATCCAATTACCATTCACTGCAAGCATAAGATGACTGCTTGTTTGTTATCTGGCAATAAAAAGCAAATCAGTTATCTTACTTTCCACTCTTCGTAGAAGCCTTGTCGTAGAGGTAACAACAAATAAGTAACCACTATTACTTCTTTCTATGGCAATCCTTTTTAGCGCGAACTTTCTGGATTCTATGTTGAAAAAATACGATACTCATCTCGATGGTAGACTATAACGGTTTGGGTGAAGGAACTTGATGTTCAGCCCTCAAGAAAATTTTTTTATAGGTATCTTTCACGGTGAATAATAACGCAAAAGCAGTTCTTTATGATAGCCACGAGCTTACCAGCCACACAAGATAGAATGTTTCAGCTGGAGCTACAATAACAACTCATGTGTTTTAATGAATTATTTGTGAAACTTATTGCTCAGCCAGTAAAGAAAATACTTGGTTCGAATTGCGAACTGTGTGGAACCTAGTGGTTAATGGTATATTTCTGCACGAAGTTCTTATAAGCTCACCCAGTTTTCCAGTAATTTCTCGGCAACTTAATCACACAGGTCACTCAAATTTGATATGGTTAAATAACTGGTAATTGTGAACAACTGTTTACTATTAATATATTACTATGTTTACCTTTCAGTTCAGTTCAGTTCAGTGTGTACAACCGTTAACCATTCACTTTCGTTTTTGCCTTTCTCATATTTATATCGTGAAAATTCACAATTTCGTTAACCGATCGTTCTGCAAAACTACCATGCGCTATCATGCTTATTCCTGAGAAACAGAGTTTATCTTCTAATATCACCGATCTTTCTCATGTTATCTTTTAGGTAATAACTGAAATGTTTTTGTTTTAATAGGTTTAATGATGCTGTTGTGGAAAAGCAAATTGCATTCCTTGACGCTTACGCAGGCAGCCCATCAAATATTTGATCATATGTATATAGAAAGCAATGATGAAATCACTAGTGGTCCTTCAGCCGAACGCATTTTATTTCGGCACGTATAAAGTCGAATTCAATTTCAAATATCAGAGTTATCGACAACAGGATTGATCATGCAATTTTCTTTAGGGTCGCCATTTGTGAAACTATTGATGGCCAACTAAGCGAATAATCAACTTAAAAACGCCATCCAATACTGCGTTCTATGCAAATTAGATAGTTTCAGTTTCAGTTAGATAGGGATAATGTACGCGATCCGCAAAATAACTAACACGGACTAACTACTCTCGATCAAGTTTCAGTTGAGCCCAGCTTCACAGAGATTTCACGAGGAAGGAAATAGGAGTACAAAAACAGCTAATTATCCTATTTGGACATTTGTCTGGGTTGTAGATTAAACGGCTCCTTGTGCTAATCATCATCCCATTACCTTATAATTGCTTATAACGTGAGATTAATCACTTAAACGACTTGAGAAAGGCCTTCCAAGAGGGTCGAAACGTTGTCACCTACACCTTGTGTTTTGGTTTTTCGTTCGTTTTGGCTAAGAAAAGCTAATTTCCTGGAGACCCCTTGTGCTGTTTAGTACATATACCGCACAATAGTGGTCTTACTCATCAACTTTTTGTGAATGACTTGTTCAGCCTGAAAGCATTTTTGCTATGGTTGTCCATTCCGCACAATACACTGTGCAAAATTCGTCCTTCAGGTGTGCAGATACGTACAAAATCTTATTGTTTCTGCTCCAATTAAAGTCTGAAAATTTTATTCTGGTTGGAGTAGGCGGAACTTACATAAAATGCGTCCTGTCATTTTTCCTACCCCACCACCATTTTGCAGCAAACAAGAGCAGTTAAATCAACACTGGAAAGACCCAATCTTTCAGCCACTCTTCTTCAGCAGCGACAGAGAATCGCTGAGCAGAATCGAGAAATCGAAGAATTACGTTCGGCCAAGCGGTATGCGGAACTGTTACTGGAAGCTCGGAAACACTCAACGACAGCTGATTTATTAGAACAAGTGCATTGTTGGTTCATATTGTTTTGTTCCTTATTCCTTTCACCAAAAGCCTGCATTTGGTCAACTATGAATGAAGTTTTATTTTTTCGCAAAATCTAGCTTTGATATCGTAATGATTTTCCTGCAGCTTTTTTATCCAGTAACCTGCTCGAAATCTATCACGTTAATAAAATCCGTTTTGGCAATGTTTTGAAAATCGAAGTGATCGTACGGTGGCGCAGTATACGCGACCTTTCAACTTCAGTCGAACGTCACT